CTTTATAGTTTATCTGTTATTTTCTCTACCCTATCTCCAAACCGGATCGGTCAATGAGAACGATCTTGTAACCACCAAAAAAAAATCTAAATAAAGCTAAATTATCCTTTTTCCTTTCTAGGATGACTTCAACTTGTAACATGAAACTACATTAGTTTATCCTAAGTAGTTCTAAGTTCGTAACAGTATACATCTATTTATAATTAAATGTTATTGTTTTATTGCCCTTTGAACCATGCCTAACTACTACCTGTGCCATTATAAGTTGTAAATCACTCGAGAATGTGCAGCTCACTTTACGTTAACGAATTACATTACCCACGAGCTGCTCTCGTGTGTGCCTCATGGAACATTTTTATAAAATTATTATTATTATTTATTTTACCTAATCATTTTAGTTACTTTTATAATTATACATAAAGAATAAACATGAAAAACAAAAAATTAAATACTTAACCAATCTTCTTTTTTCTTGCTGTGGATTACTGAAGAGAGTTAACCCTAATTATTTTATACTAATGATAGTAATGCACTTAATTTTTATTTAATCAAATAATGCACCAAAGAATATAGATTTATAACATGCAAAAAGTAGACAAATTCCCTTACCTCTCAAAATTTTTCTGGCTTTCTAACTGTGAGACAAGAGCCATTACAAATTCATCCAAGCTAGTCGTTAACTTTCTCACGGCCACGATGTTGATACTCTGAGTGAAATTGACATCCAACTGTTGAGAACATAGTGTTATACAATACGTCATTTGATATAGATGAAAACCTTGACTTTCTATTGGTTATAGGTTATATATAATGAAATGTAAGAGAGAACTATCAACAAATCGTGAAAGAGAGGGTGTGGCAGGAGGGGTCTGATTTTCTATTTGATAGCTCTGTAACCAAACAAAATTGAAGACTATAAAAAAATTATGGTTTGTTTGAGCAACAACGATTTTATAGAGAGTAAGTTATGTTTAATTTTGTACTTTTTCGAGGTGTGGTGGATAAAATAGGGATGATGACATGCTAAGAGAAAATGTCACGTGGGTCACACTAGTGAAATTCAGGATTTTTATAAATATTGCGTTGTAGAATTAAGAACTTAAAACTTGTATACTATTAAAATATGGATTATTAGATTTTATACTATACTAATTGGTATAACATAAACAAAAAGTAGTTTAATAAAATTTTGAATGCAAGACACTAAAACCTTGTCATGTGCAGTAAAGGATACCCGTGGCAATAGGGTTATAAAGCTTAAGTACAGAGTGAAACAGGAATTACCAGCCAATAATATATGAACATTAGATGACCATAACATGTAGAATACTCAATGCTTTGTACACTTTACAATTGGTGTCGGTAGGGAGCCAAGCCCTATATTATGTTACGAAGTAAAACAAAAATCAATACACATAATATTAAATTTTATTACACACATTTGTAAAGAACACTAACTTTCAGTCCAGGGAAGAAACGTTACAAAAGTAATAAAAAAAATTTTGTAAATGTAAAATGATGTATGAATGGGAGTGCCAAATAGAATGCAAACAATAATATAGGGATGATGCAGCTATACATAGATCATCCCTGCATGACTTTCAATATTAAAATTTAATGTTACAATGTAAAATGCATACTTGACTTTAATATTACTGCAGTTGGAAGTTATATATTCCTGACTGTTGGTATACAGTTTGTTTATCATAATATCATAATTATGTCAGGGTAGGCATCAGTGTAGTGTAACTAAGAGTTTAGGACTTATGTACAAGGAAAATCAAATTGAGTCAAAAGATGTCTTGATCATTACAGACTCTCACTATGAGGTCGGTCATATTGACTGACCTATTAACCATTTTGTACTCGTGGATTTTACAGTGTAACATTACATTTTAATATGAAAGTCATGTAGGAATGATCTTTGTATAACTGTATCATCCCTCTATTCTTGATTGCATTCTTTTTGGCACTGCCATCCCTACATCATTTTATATTTATGAAATGTTTTTGTATTACTTGTAATGTTACTTGATTTAGGTAATGTGTAGTGTGTGTCTGTAAATGTTACCCTGGGTATAATGTCACTAGGTTTAAGTAATGTGTAGTGTGTGCCTGTAAATGTTACTCTCCTTATAGTGTCACATGGTTTGGGTAATGTGTAGTGTGTGTCTGTAAATGTTACTCTGGTTATAATGTCACCTGGCTTAGGTAATGTGAAGTGTGTGCCTGTAAATGTTACTCTCCTTATAGTGTCACATGGTTTGGGTAATGTGTAGTGTGTGTCTGTAAATGTTACTCTGGTTATAATGTCACCTGGTTTAGGTAATGTGAAGTGTGTGCCTGTAAATGTTACTCTCCTTATTGTGTCACATGGTTTGGGTAATGTGTAGTGTGTGTCTGTAAATTTTGCTAAACATAAAAAACCATAACTCATTACTTCTTTTCACAAGCACATCTACAAATATAATTGCTTTCACAAAATTTTAATCATTTTGATTTAATTGATTTGTTATCAGAAATCTAGGTTAGGTTATTGGGGAGTGTTACGAACATAAGAGGAACATGTTATAGTTGTACAAAAAAGCTCTATTAAATTTAGAAGAATCATGTCATTCCCACAGTTATTAAAATATCAAAATAACATGTTTAGTTTCAATCAAGGTCAGTAATTTATTTATGGTATAATGTTTTCCAGGTCTTTTGACTTTACTTGGATTTTTAGATTATTTGTTTGTTAGTCATGCCTACTATATTACTCTTACCAAGGGGCCATCTGTTCAGCTAGTATTTGGGTTTGAGGTAAGTCTATCAATTGTTTACTAAAACTTTTGTTAAAACATCACTGCTTGTGTAGTTCTATAACATATTTCACTGCCTAGTGTGGCATAGTCCTGTATTGTATAGAAACATGTTTCAGTAATCTTTTATTATTAGTAAACACCAGTGACATTTATTACTCTTCCGAAGCAACAGCTCAAGACTTCACCTAGTCTCAAGTTTATCAGTAACAGGTTTTAATAATCAGAGGGATGGTTTCAACTTGATGAATATTTTAGCTGCTTACAGCGAGATTACTTCGGTAAAGTTTCTAATTACATTAGTTTTCTTAACTCTGAACATCTTTGTAGACAAGTAGAAGGTAACATGTATTTATTATTTACCTGTGCAAAAAATATCCACATTAAACTTTACTTTTCATAATAAATGTATAAACTATGATAAAAGTAACCTCTCTTGAATGTTTTTGTATTTAATCTTGATATATATATAGTGCATATCAAAAAGGATTCTTCAGGAATCTTTTATATGGTTGTTAGAATTAATTTTGTTGAATTTTTAGCTCCACAAGCATGTAAGAAAAAATGTCAATTCTCTAAGTATTTTTCTGTAAACTAATGATTTTCTAATTTGAATAGACTTGATGGGTTTTTTCAGTATGCCATCTTGCTTACAGTAGTAGTGAACATAATGATCAAGTATGTTCTACATACTGTTGACCTGCAAAGTGAAAACCCTTGGGAAAACAAAGCAGTTTACCTGTTGTATACTGAGTTGATAATGGGTAAGTTCCTGATGCATGGTTGTGTTGTAGTTTTAGGTTAACAGAGTGTGAAAGCTGAAACTAAAAATTATTGTTGACAAAACATTAAACTAGTTTTACAGGAGATGTGACTTTGCATTTTGTCTGTCACTGTTCAGAATGTGATAGCATTCATGACTTTTGTTTTGTCCATACAGGTTTTATTAAGGTTGTTTTATACCTGACGTTCATGACCATCATGATTAAAATCCATACTTTCCCACTGTTTGCCATTAGACCAATGTATCTCAGTATGAGGTATGTGTCACCATCTATTGATCTGTTATTGTACTAATGTTTACAAAATTATAGGTTAATTCTGTAAATTATTCTAAAGCTTAAAGATTGTGTCATTTCGCTAGAATTATGTATTTGTTCTAAAATATTTAATGATAGCAGGTGTAGGCTGGATCCCATAGTATCTTCCTGTACTGGTGGATATACAGACTTTTTAACAAGTGTATCTTGGGATATGACAATAAATATATCTATAATATATTTATTTATAATATACTACTGAAATAGTAAATTCTCAGAAAATTGCAGTTTTTCTTTACTAATATATTTGACTTATAAAGCCAGTTCTTAGTTAAGAGTGTATCTTCTGCTTCTTTGTTATCCTTACATAAATCTCACTTCTCAGAAAGTTCAAAAATGTTTTATTTTTAGGGCTTTGAAGAAGGCATTCAATGATGTGATTATGTCAAGAAGGGCAATAAGGAACATGAACACTTTGTAAGTGTCTCCTTGTTTTTATGAAGTTTTGAAGTATCTGAAAGAAACGTTTTTAAACAAATAAGTTAGGACTGTAGATCAACATGTGTAGGATGTTATTACAGAATGGTCTTTAGAAGGATTCACTATTGTGTATTAAATATATAAATGTTGTTACTACTGATTTTATACCTTTTTTGTTTGAATCAACTACTACATAGTATTAACAACTTTCATATTCCTTTGTATTTGCTGTCTTAGCATATTGTTCTATCACCTTTGGTAGTGAAGTGTGAACCGTGTTGATGAATCACCACTAACCATGAAACAGCTAAAACGTTCATAAATCAGTGATAGCTATAGAGCATGTATCTTGTGATGAATGAGCACTTATAATGAAATATGTACCTTGCAGAAAGATTCACATTAGCCTTAATAGTTTTAGCATGTTAATGAATTGGCAATAGTCTTGCAACACGCATACCAGTTTTAATGATGTATACAACTTTATGGTATTTCTTGTAAACATTCTATATAATACTCAGTAGATCTTTAGTATTGTACTATATGTCAAGCTATAAGTCAGAACTATGAATTTACAAGTCAGAACTATGAATGACAAATAATACTATATTGACAAACTACAAGTCAGAACTATGAATGACAAATAACACAATACTGACGTTTGTCAATATAGTATTACTTGTCATTCATAGTTCTGACTTGTAGCTTGTCAGTATTGTGTTATTTGTCATTCATAGTTCTGACTTGTAACTTGTCGGTATGGTATTATTTGTCATTCATAGTTCTGACTTGTAGCTTGTTGGTATAGTATTATTTGTCATTCATAGTTCTGACTTGTAGCTTGTCAGTATTGTGTTATTTGTCATTCATAGTTCTGACTTGTAACTTGTCGGTATGGTATTATTTGTCATTCATAGTTCTGACTTGTAGCTTGTTGGTATGGTATTATTTGTCATTCATAGTTCTGATTTGTAGTTTGTCAATATAGTATTATTTGTCATTCATAGTTCTGACTTGTAACTTGTCGGTATGGTATTATTTGTCATTCATAGTTCTGACTTGTAGCTTGTTGGTATGGTATTATTTGTCATTCATAGTTCTGATTTGTAGTTTGTCAATATAGTATTATTTGTCATTCATAGTTCTGACTTGTAACTTGTCGGTATGGTATTATTTGTCATTCATAGTTCTGACTTGTAGCTTGTCGGTATAGTATTATTTGTCATTCATAGTTCTGACTTGTAGCTTGTCGGTATAGTATTACTTTTCATTCATAATTCAAATTTATTTTTTAATAAAACCTATACTCCCTTAGTTTGAAAATGTTTTTAGTATTAAGCATTCATAATTCATTGTTTATGTTCAGTGTTTTTTACTGTTTTCTGAGGAATATGATGAACAGTTTCCAATTTTCACAAACAAAGTTAACTTACCAGTATCGTCTTTCTTGATAAATACTTTTTTTTTCACCATGGAGTGTAGTTGTTTTCAAAAGATACTAGCAAAAATACAATTTTCAAGATTAGAATGTTAAATTATTATTTAACTATGAGTAAGTTAGCAGGTGTTTGTAATATGGTTACAAACTTTATATTATTTATAAAATAGATTTAATGTTTTGTGAGATAAGCATAAAAATGTAACTGTTCATGAACATTGTCCATTCTTTCACCTGTGAGGTAAGATGATTTTTGCTTACATTCCTTTCACTAAATTAACCTGAAATTAGTGAATCTAAAGTTTATTTTTAACTGTAAAGTTCAAACTTCAATGCTTAAAACAAATTAATAATAATATATTTAATAGAGACACTCTTCCTTTAGGTATCCTGATGCTACTGCTGAAGACCTAGCATCTGTGGACAATGTTTGTATTATTTGTCGAGAGGAGATGTTGGGTAACGGTAGTAGTAAAAAATTACCTTGTAATCACATCTTCCACACTTCCTGCCTTCGATCGTGGTTTCAACGGCAACAGACTTGTCCAACGTGTCGTATGGATGTCCTGAGGATACCTGCCAACTCCAGTGCTGGACAACAAAGGGCTCCAGGAGCAGTTCCTGGACAACAACAGCAAGCACAGCCTCAGCCACAACCCCAGATACCTAACTGTAAGTTACTTGCTCATTAGTTTCAGATATACAGGACTTTATCTCCTTTATGAAAAACAGTATAGTAACTCTAAACACAATAGTTTGTTATTGAAGAGAAAGTTATGCATGTTTAAAGCTTTAAAAATCTAGAAATGAGTATGATATACTCTTTATTTAACATCATACCACTGAAAGATTAAATTTTGTTTTAGAATTCATAACAAAATTATCATCTTATTTAGAAAATTCTTAAAAAAGTGCATCATTTATGATGAAAATGCATAGTTTATTTATTTAGTTTATTTTTATATTGCTACATTAAGTCTCAAAATTAAGTCAGTGAATTCTAGTGTTTAGATGTGACCATCTAATGGTACTGTTATTTTTTGTCAGTTGATAATTCACACCAGTTGTAAACGATGGTCAAACTATTAAAAACAAAAAACTTGTTACAAGCACAACATCTTATGATAATCCTTCTCCAGTACTTATGATATTTCCCAGGTTTACAATAGCAGGTGAAAACAGGACATTCAAATGATGCTTTGATATAGTTTTTTTTAATTTCATATTAACAAATGTAATTATTCGATTTATGTCACATAAAGACTCAAGTAAGTCAAGTTAGTGTTTTCCACCGTTCCAAATATCTAAGCGATTGAATGTTGCTTATTAAAGATTTCATAGTTTATTATGATACATTAACTCAATTCTAAATTGCTATACCTGAAAATGTCTTAAAACCTTAAAAATGTTTTTAAAAAACCCAAAGCAAGATAAAAATAGGAATATTAGTCATATGTGAGAATAACTTATTAGCTGGATGAAACTGATTGAGCCTGGCATTTAGCAAATTCCACCAATCACTCAGCTCTAACTTTAATAGTATGTTAAACATAAGGAATTGAAGACGGATGGTTCCTGGAAACATGTCGGATATAGCCACTAATGTCATGCAACTCTTGAACATTTTTTTTTCTCTTTGCCAATGTGGCTGGCACTTTTGCTAATAACTTTTCAAGTAACTGGCCAGTTACCTAAAAGTCAGTTTCAAACCCTGATTACATGTAAAACAAATAGGTTTAAATGTTTTTTAGTGACATACTGACAAGGTTTGAATAAAGGAGTGGTGTTTTGTAATCAATCCTTGGTTAACATTTTGATTACATTCTCATTTGTCTTAAAGTAGCACTGATCATGAAAAATGTTTTTTGCAGCTTTAATAATTGTCTCATAATATTGAGAAACATGACATTGCAAGTAAACTTATAATTATTTCATAATTTAGCTTATAATTATTATTATAATTATTTAATTTAGCTTATAGTCAAAATGTTCTTGAATGTAGTTAAGGGTAAAATTGTCTAATGCACATTAAGTTAAGACTAAAACTTGTTCTATAATTCTGATTGAAATTATAGTCAAACCAGTCAGGAAAAGCTCAGGTACTCATTTTTGAAGTGTCAGATATTTAATATTTATTCTCATTAAGTGCTATATTGTTTTCGTTTTTCTCTCTGTTATAGGGCCAGGATTTCCACTAGGTGGTGGTGGTCCAGGACCATTTTGGGTACCACTTCCACAACAGCAACAGCAACCACAGCAACAGGCTGGTGAGTATCTTATGTTATTCAGAGAGTGAATCCATATTTTTATTGGCCAAAAACACATTTGTTTAAAATTTTATAAATCAAATTGAAAGAAGATTTTTTAATGCATGTCCATATTCACCATTCTTGTAGTTCACCAAACTGCACTTAAAATGCTTTTATACTACTTGTGTTAGTCATAAATAAGGGTATTTATTCACTCATTAAAGCAGTTTGAAATTTTAAAAGTTTTAAAAAAGGGACCATTTTTGCAGTTTGGTTAATTATTGATTTTATTCTTGTAATTTTAACCCTCTAGATAGGTGTAGGTCAAAGTGCTCTTGTCATGACCTTTTTACAGTTATATTCAAGATTTTACTATACTACTTTATTATCAATGTATACAAATAAATTTGGCAACAAAAATGTATAAATCAAATTTTAATATTATATAAGCTTTAATTTTTTAATTTAAAAAGGAAATAGTCTCATTCTTCACGTTTTTGACAAGAAATACTTGACACTTTTTTGCTTCAAATTGCACATTTTTAACTATTTTTTTTCCACCTCGTTTGTGCTTCTGATTTTTAATGCAAATTAAAAACGTATGTTATAGATATTACTAATATAGAATCTAACTTTGTAGCCTCCAGTCGTCTTGTTTTACTTAGATATAAACCAGTTTTTCAAAAATGTAATAATTATCTCCAATGTTAGCTATTAGATTATTTATAATTGTTAGATATACATGGCTGTTTAAGTTAATGTGAATGTTAATTTAGTTATTTTTAGACGCAATAATTTGTTTACGTAACTGTATATGAATCATACATTTTGTAGTTTAAATATTGTGAATTGGTGCTTGTTGTGTTATTGTGTCATGTTACTAGAAACTTCTAAGATTTTCTCATTGTTTCAATTGAGTGTTATTGTACCATGATATCCCGTAGTGTGTGGAATGTTCTAGGCCTCTGTCTGTCTATAAATACGTGTAGAAAATGTAGTTCAAGTTAAGTTTGAGAAAGTTAGTTAGATAGTAGTGTTGTAGGTCTTGAGACCACCCTTCAGAAGGTCTTGGTCTTGATGTTTTGCAGGTTTAGAAAATGAAGCCAGCTAAATTTAAAAGTTTTAACAGTATTAGACCAGGCACCTACCCAGGATTATTAAGTACTAAATATCAATTATGCAGCAGTTCATACGAAGTACGGTATAGCAACAAAGATGTTTTCCTAGTAAAATCCCTTGGTAGTTGGTACTACACTTTTGTAATGATGTTTATAGTGAATGTTTTACTAGTAAAACCCCTTGGTAGTTGGTACCACACCTTTGTAATGATGTTTATAGTGCATGTTTTACTAGTAAAACCCCTTGGTAGTTGGTACTACATTTTTGTAATGATGTTTATTGTGCATGTTTTACCAGTAAAACCCCTTGGTAGCTGGTGACCACACTTTTGTAATGATGTTTATAGTGCATGTTTTACTAGTAAAACCCCTTGGTAGTTGGTACTACACCTTTGTAATGATGTTTATAGTGCATGTTTTACTAGGAAAACCCCTTGGTAGTTGGTAAACATCATTACAAAGGTGTAGTATAGTGAATGTTTTACTAATAAAACCCCTTGGTAGTTGGTACTACACCTTTGTAATGATGCTTATAGTGCCTTACTTATTTTTGTTTGTCACCAACTGCCATATTACCTGTACGTCAAATCGCAGCTGTAACGTGCTATTCAAAATTAACTGCTTCTATACATTGTATTACACGTGGGCTTACTAAAAGTTTGTATGAACTTCATCTGGTGCATGTATTTACATCAAATTAGTGATTATCCCTGATATTCAACATGTCTATTAGATCTGCTGTGATCCTGTTTGGCTTCAAACATCATAAAGAAACTACTGACTCCAATACTGATTTTTCTTAATGACCTTTTTTATTTTTTTTATTAATTCATTAATTTTTTTATCTTTTCATTGTTCATTTTCATAGAAGGAGAAGTTAAAACAAAGACTGTGAGGTTAACGTAAAAGATTTTTGGTTAAGATGTTAATAAAGTTTGTTTGTTTGTTTGTGATTTTTATTCTTCTTGCTTTATTTTTCATGGTGTCTCGAATCCTCACGTTTTGGGCTTGGACATTGAGTTCTTAACTACAACACTGTTAGATAGATAGCTAGATCTAGACTGTGTGATTGTGAGTTTAGCCATAAAGAGTGTACAGTGGTAACCTTTAAAGTGAAATGACCACAGATTGTATTGTAATAACAGAGTAGAGAAGAAGAATTTGTCTTTCCAATTGTGTTCTAAAATAATTGAACCAGCCTGTGTGGACTTTTATGAAAAAAAGACAATTATTTAAAGCTCTGAATACAACTGTGGTAACCAACAGTGTAATATAAGTGGAATTATCACCAATTGTATTCAAATAACAGGGTAAAGAAGAAGAATTCACCTTGTCAATTGTGTTATAAAGTAACTGAACCAAGCTGTATGGACTTTGAGAAAAAGAGATGATTATTTAAAGTTCTGGATACAACTGTGGTGATTAACTGTGTAACAGACATTTGTATATAAGTTTCACTTGTTTTAGTATATTATTTTAAGACAAGTGGACTGTGTGCTGTTTGTTTATTGTTGAAATTTGTCACCAACAAGTCACAGACACCTACTGTAAAGAATCCAGCCCATACATATGTAAAATCCTGAAAATAACCAATAGAAAGAGGTTTTAATTTGCTGATTTATGTATAATGCTAGATCATTTTCACAACAACATTTACATAATTTGGTGTACAGATTCAAAGCTGCTATCAACATGTTCACTTCGACCAGCTAAAAGAATTATTTCAATGCATTTATAGCTTAATATAAAACCAGTTAAATTATAATTTTTACAGAATAATATATGCTTTGTTCATGTTTATTTTGTGATCTAACTTAAATGTTTGAAATAAGAAAAAGCTTCAGTAAAAATATTAACAATAATCGTATCAAAAATTAGGGTTAGCTTTTATCAGTTTTAAAAAAATGTTCAAGACTCACATGTAAATACTAAATTTCTTATATTTTATGTTTTTGTTTTTTTTACTTATTGTTATAAAAGTAACTAAACTTATTTTGTTAAATGAGAAAACAACCAGAAAGAAAAATGTACTTCATTACTGTACCTTGATTTATGCTTTTACTGAATAATCATTCAGTGAAGTGAAGTAGTCACATGGATCAAAAAGCAATAAAATAAAGTAAAAAGAGTTTAAACTATTATGAGACTGAGACTGTTTAGAATAAATAATTGTAATTTTCTGTTACAATATGCAGTCATTCTAGAAAGAAAGAGAGTAATTTGGATTTATTTCATAATGTTTGTGATGGTTATAAGGCTGGTCAAATGAACTGAGTTTGTGTTAGGGAACAGAAAAAAATAGATGAAATTTAATGTTTTACAGAAAAATTATGCTTTATTTTAATTGCTATACAGATTTGAAAACTGTAAAATTAGAAAAGTGTTTTTAATCTTAACCTAAAAACCACCTTGCACTCATAGTAGTCAGTCTCAGTCAACACTCTGACTTCATAAATTCACAGACAAACATGTAGTAAAAATACTTAATTAAAAAATCTTGTGTACAAAAGACTTGTAAAGCTTGCCCGATTTTTAGAGGGTTAAGGTATGTTATTGGTTTTATGTTCCCCACTGCAAAGTGGAGTAGGATATATTAGTTTGTCTCTGTCCATTCACTTCTGCTAATCTAGTGAACAGATTGAATGAATGGATTTTGACCAAAATTTTACAATAATCACTATATCAACAAATTTGGGGGACTTAAATCTACAGTATACCATCAGTGAGGGCATAATTTTCTCATAAACATAAAACTTGTTTTCTCTCTTATGTTTGTACGATTTTCAATTTGAAGGTGTTAAGTTGATGATATACCAGGTGTTATATTCAGATATAAGTAATTCACTTTGGTAGGCTGTTCTGTCACACAAGATTTTTGTGACCTGTGCTTTGTGTTGCTGCTCAAAGTTTAGGGTTACCAACAAGGTTTATTGAGTTTTCATGGTGACTAATTATAATGAAATATTAAATTTCCAAATATTTTGAAACCGTGAATGTAAAAATTATAATTATCTTCTTGACAGGAACTGGAACGTCAGCACAGAGTAGTTCTGCAGCACCATCTTTAGGTTCTACAACAACTACCTCTTCTACAGCTGGTGGGATGTATGCCAACCAGACTAACCAACCATTCTCAATACCACCTTTTGCTTTTCCTCCTTTTTGTAAGTCAGTTGAACAAAATTTTATCACTTGCAGATCAGAAAAGTTTTGGTGATGTTTATTTTCTTTCATGATTTAGGTATACGTTTAATGCTATTTATCTAATAAGAAAATATTATTGCAAATAAATTTTTGTCTATATTCTTAGGACCTAGAGCTTTGTCTTATCCTGTTATAATGTTTTATTATTCTTATGTTATTTCCTGGTGCCTCTAATTTTCTTTGCTTTAGTAGGTAAAAGGGATATATAAAGAAAACTTTATATTAAAGTATTCTTAGAATATGTATTTGAAAACAAACTGATTTGTTACATAAACCAGGTTTTATTACCCACAAATAGTCACATTGGTAATTAAAATTATGTTAAGTACAAAATAATTTACACAAGTTGAGATTAGTTTCATCAAACTCCAATAACAGTTTCTCACATTTTTAAACCCATTTTTCACATCATGTAAGTCAACCAACAATAAATTTAAAATCATTTAAAAGTCATCAATCAGTATTTGATAACATCGGTGATTGAATAAAAGAGGCTGTGGGATTGTGTTTTGTATCATGTAACAGAATCAGCTTTTATCACTACAAGAGACCTTGTCCTGTTCTTTTGCTTTGCCTTCTCTAAAATTACTGATTAATGGATTCCCCTAAGTCATTGTAAGCCAGTAATGTGTAAAAAATCCAAGAACATGTTAGCCTGCTCATTCCTTTTTTTTTAGTGACCACAACCACCACGATTTATCTAGACATATTTTGACTTCTTGTGTATCTTCTGTATCCAGTTTTACACCACCACCACCATTTATCTAGACATATTTTGACTTCTTGTGTATCTTCTGTATCCAGTTTTACACCACCACCACCACCATTTATCTAGACATATTTTGACTTCTTGTGTATCTTCTGTATCCAGTTTTACACCACCACCACCATTTATCTA